AATAATAATCGATAACATTATTATATCGGAACTAAGACGTAGTTTATACTGATAAAATGTCGGGATATTACAGATACGACCAACGAATGTTCTTTAGCCAAATCCTGAAGTTGATTTGGTATGGCTAATATTCCGGCATGGCACAACTCCTACCGGCAAAAAAATCAGAATCGACAAAATATCGAGGTAGCATCATTTATCGTGCATTAATTATCTACCGCACGTGCCCATTATATATTAACACATTCATAGATACATTCATCATATACACGCGTCATACATACATCTTGACATAAAAACTTCTTTTCCAAACCATGAAGTTGGTTTGGCAAGGCTAAAGCCCTTTCCTTTCCAAACCCTAAAGTTGGTTTGGCAAGGCTAATGCCCTATAAATTACATCAACGATCAGGAACACACTACCTGACCGATAAATAAAAGAATACAATACACCAAACGCTTTTATATGTTTGGGCCCACACTGGTTAGGCAAAGTCAATAAGACCTTTCCCGGCTGGCAAAAATACAAAAGAAGGAATCTTTACACCGAGTTGAATAACTCGGTAGGGTAAAGCCTTTACTTACACCAAGTTCTTCAGCTTGGTAAGGCTGATACCCGTTCATATATTCCTTAAAGACCCATGTTGGTGAGGCGCACTGTAAGACCTTACCGGCTGGGACGATTATATTCCTTAAAATATTGAAAGACCGAAGACCAGATACCGAATTATCCGACCAGGTCCAAATTACTAAGAAAAATAAATAAAAATCGCGTCGTCCTAATACAACGACAAAATCGCAAATGCGATAACAATATCATGGGGCCCGAGTGCCCGCACGTATCCATATTATTGTCATCATTACAGAAGCAAATTCACCAAACGCTTCACGTTATACGTACAAAACACGAGAATTAGGTACCAAATTACCCAACCAGGTTAACAAGGCCTCCGTTCATATAGCAATCTCAAAAAGTTGACTGTCCACGCAGTCGACTTCATTCGTCATAACATAAACACGATTAGCACAAATACGTTAGGCTAAAGCCTGAACACGGTCAATAAAGCGACCACGGGTCCCAAAGCACCCGAATAACGTCCATGTGTCATTTATCACAACATAAAAAGCCTTAAGCTCATGTTATAAAGCAAACAAAGACAAAATTGACTATACATGCGACTTCAAAATAGTTCTATTTAGAACATGTCCTAAAGTCGGGGGCCTATTGTTGATACCCAATTTTGGCCTCGCCTATTAAGATATTACACGTGGATATATATATTAAATAAATATAAAATAGCAGGTTCTTTTATCTGATTTATATTGACTGAGTTCCCATAAGTCAAGACGGTCCACATCCAAAACCAATCAGAATTCAATGACGCCAGCTCGACCCAAATATCTCAAAGAAGCCACTTTGACAGACACGTCAAATTGTCCACAACACATGCAAGTCGAGGTGCCAGTCAATTCAATTATTTTTTATAATTAGGCCCTGCGCGGTCATTTGATTAATTACATGTGTATTGAGAAAGCCCGTTAGATATACGGGCCCATATTAGCCCAG